AAGCCAGCAAGGGCACTGGCAAAGGAAGAAGAGTGGTGTGAATAAAGCTAAGTAAGACCAGAAAGGAGAGGAAGGACCCGAATTTCTGTATTGATCTCTGGCGTCTAAAATGAGAATCTCTTGCTTTCCCTATCACCTAATTACTCTGCACAGCAAGAAAAGTAATAGCTATCAGTTAATCCTATTTTGTGTCTGTGGCTTTGCACTCATCTTCTGCGAATGCATCTGTTAGGTATAAATATCTATTATACCTATTTTACACATGGGTCTGCATCCTCCCGTCCCTACCTGCTCTGATCCTAGAGGGGCCCAATATTTCGGGGAGCCCAGACCGCCCCTGTGGCTCCCCACAGCCATGCCCATCCACAGCCTCTGGCACCAGGAAAGCCTGAGGGCAAGGTTACTAATGCTGAGGCTAGGCCCAAACAGGGACAAACAACCTCTTAAAAGGAAAGGCCTGGCGTGAGAGGCAAGAGGAAGGCGGAACTTGGGTCGGACTACCTCTGCTTTGGAAAGTTTGGGGCCTAGAACCACCTCTGGGTCACGAGGTCAACGCGGAGAGGGCTGGGGCTGGGGTGCAGGAGGTTGAGACCCCTGGAAGGGCGAAGGCCGCACCACCTCAGGTGACTTTCCAGACTTGCCCGACGCGGGACCCATCTGAGCTGAGAGGAAATCGGGCCGTTTCGGCAGGGTCCAGGCGGAGAGAACGCGAGCCCGGTTAAGCACTTTCCCAGGGAGCTGCATGGGGGCCAGGGCCAGGGCCAGGGCCGCGGTGACGTCAGGTCCCCGCCGGGCGCTCGCCGGCCTCAGCTTCCATCAGTCGGCGCATCCGCTCCCGGCGCTGGGCGCGGCGCGCTCCTTAATGCCGGAGGGTGGGAGGTTGGCGCGCTCACAGCCCTGCGCGGCGCCCAGCACCCAGCACCCAGCACCGAAGCCCAGAGAGGGAGGCAAACGATGGTTCAGAGCGCCGAAATCCTAACTCACTGTCCATGTAGGCAGACCAGAGTAAGGAAACCAAGGACTCCTTGGAGCTTTTGAATCACCTGACACTTCTTTGCAAAGTCGAGTAAGCATCTCAAGTCCCCAAGCCCCAAAGCAGCAAACATCTTTTCGTCTTGAATGGAAAGGGCATTCTATTTGCTTTTGAAGAGAAACTGAGTGCACCACTCAAGGCATCAAAAATATCACCATAACACCAAAAATATAAAATAAAACCCTGCACAGAGAGAGCTCTTTGCCATGGGAAATCTTGGCCTTGTCTTAGTAACCCGCCTTCCTGAAGAAAAGTCCCTTAGTCAGAATAAGAAAGTCAAGTTCATTATTTCCTAAAGGCCACAGAAAAAAAGCAAAAACTGAAAACAAGAATTGTAAAACCGGACAGCACCGTGCGAAGGGGGAGAGCGATTACAAGTCTCCCTGGGTGATGATATCAGTCAGGTTTCCAGGAAAGTTTTAATAGAAAATAACTATGAAAGACGCCAAACCAAGTCTCTGGTTTGGGGAATTTATCTTTGGGAAAGCTCCTTTTGCAGCTGCTTACTCTAGAACTCCTGGAGGCTGTGTCCCTTTGAACTTTATCCATATTTTCCACAGTAAAGGTCAACAGTTCCTCCCCCTTCTCCCGGCTTTAAGGGATCCACCTCATAGACAGCTCCCAAATGGAACCCACCCAACAATCTTCCAACTTCAGTCAAAAAAAAAAAAAAAGCAAAGCAAAAAAAAAAAAAAAAAGCAAAGCAAAGAAATAAATCAACCCCCATCCCCAACCTCACGGTGGCTGTCCTGAAAAGCAGGCTTTGCTCTAAAAGCACGGAAAGGGCAGCATAATAAACAGTGAGATGCAAATTATTTTAAGGCAATAATGAGGAGGGGGAGAGTGTTGGAGAATGTTAACCAGAAGTCTTGACTAAAGCTCATGGCAAAGGAAACTCTTTCCACAAAGCCAAAATATGAAGACCTGTTTTGTAAAATTCTCCAAGAGTAAGAAATAAAGGGGCACGGGGGTATAAAAAGCTTTTTTAATTACAATAAATAAATAAATAAATAAATAAATAAATAAATAAATAAATAAGCAGTGCCAACTAGCAGGTGACAAGCCAGTCCAACTTCAATCTCAGTGCAGTTAGCTATAAACGGTTAGCAGTTGAAAAGTAAACCTTGTGCACACAAAGGCACTGTTTAATTTTCTCCTGGTAATAGTTCTAAATGAAGACCCCATCACTACACAGTTAAGCGGTATTTCTTGTCCCCCTGAGGCGCTGATCAGTTCTTTTTAATGTGAGAAAACTGGCAGCTCAAAACCTGTCAATGGAGCTCCCACAAAAGTTCTGAAAAGCTGAATGAATTGGGTTTGTAATTGCTGCATCCTGTGCCCCCACCCCTTGCAGCTTATCTCTTATTCATTCATCTTATATTATTGTTAAGGAATCTTACTCTCAAAATTATTCCCTTCCCAGTTTACCTAGGGCCCTGGAGGAACTTATGACAAGGCAGAAATGGACCATTCAGCCCTCCCACCCCCACTACATCTGGAAGTGTTCAGACCAAGAGGTAGGGAGGAGGGACTATCTTGTACCCCAATTTACTCTGAGACTACTAGAATTCAGAGTACTCAGCCTATGGAGTCTTCCATTTTAAAGCCCGATTTTTATTGGCAAACAGGAATGTGTACCTTTTCTACATTCAGACCCTGACTGAGTCTCTCAAATCCTGTGACATCTCCACTTAGAAAAGGCAAAGGTTATAAATAAACCCCCTGCCCTCTCCCCAAATTGCAAGGCTCTAAAAGACCTTGCCAGACATACAGAAATCAAGATAACTTATATTCTTTTTTTTCTTTTAAACCAAAAACAGTAAAGGAAATAGCAGTGAGAGACTATACCTCCCCCCTCCCAGCCCAAGAAAAGGTTTTATGAAAAAGTCAGCTTTAAAACACCAGGGCTCTGTGTGCATTTCAATCCAAGGCATTACTGATGGAGAAGATTCTCCTGAGATTTCCTACTGTAAGAATGTGTCGGTTCTAGAAATAAGTACAGCTATTACAACCAAATCTACTAGCAGACTAAATAATTAATTGAAGCGTTGCTCTTTGACCCTTGAGAAGTCCAGTAGGGACACGTTTATAGTAATAATACCTCCGAATGAGCCCTTGTCAAATATTCATTTAGTGGTTAATGTGAGCCATTTCCCCCTGGGACCGGCAGTAATACCAGCTTCCCAGCATTGGCAAGAAACCTTGCTAATCTACTACAGCTCAGCAAAATATTTTAACGCTCTTATTTAAAGTATGGAGGGGGGTGCGGGGAGAGAAAAAAAATTGCAGAGGAACTACAATCTCATCCTGCTGCACATTTCTCTTCAGGTTATAAGGTTAACAAAACATTAAATTCACTCCCTTGGACTGGAAATGGAATGGTTTTAGTGAGCAGAATAATATTCCAAGGAAGGACCTGAACTCAACATGGAATGGTTTTAGTGAGCAGAATAATATCCCAAGGAAGGACCTGAACTCAACAGCTATCTTCAGCATGGGGAGACAACCGTCTCCGGGCAAGTTTAAGGCTTCACCCCCTTCTTGGAAGTCACATTATAATGAAAATGTTACATGTTCAGTATTAATCTAGCCATGAAACTAAACACATCTTGGGGAACCATTTAACCCAATCAAATGAATGATGAAACGTATCATTTTTTTCAAATTCAGTTTATCAAAATAATTTATATCTGCAAATAAAAACTATTTTGACTTTCATTTGTTTAAGAGATAATGGAAGGGTAGGAGGGGAGATGGGGGTCCTCTTGTCTAATGGCGAAAGTAACAATCGTGCAAAACTAATTTAACTTCCCCAACTATTGCTCTCTTCCCTTTTGTAAAATATTAGAACCTGAATATTTGGCCAAAAAGTTGTTGCTTTTTTTTTTTTAGTCCGAGCCTGTGGGCTTTTTTTTTTTTTAAATGGGTGTTTAGTGCAGTGCAATTACTCTAAACCCCAATACATATTTCTAACATATCTCTATTTTTCAAATATATACATTCCATATAGTTGATTGCCTCAAATTCGGGAATATCCTCCCCACCCCCCAGCAAGATCATTTGGATCTTTATTCAAAGTTTCTTTTATTCGTATGTGTGAGCAAGAACTGTCGAAAGTGCTCATTACCACGTGAATAATCCGTATATGCATTACAATGGCTGGCCTGGCCGGGGGAAATTCTTTCAGAGTCTCTGCATTAATTAGGGAGGGGGGGGGCGGGGAGAATGCCTAGCTTAGAACTGGGAACTGGCATAATAATTTTCCTTTTCCAGTACAATATTACCCTAAAAATGATTTTTAAAGAGGAATAAATAAAAAAAACCAATGCACTTAAAATAAAGCAATCCACATGAAATCAAAATATAGAAAATGATGATATCCCCGCTGAGCCCAGAACTCACATTAGCAACACCACGAGAAATACTTTCTTGGAAAACTAGAATATGCAAACCACGGGGATGAACTAACTTACAACTTAGTGGCTGCAGCCGGTACTTTACTCAAGGATGGAAGGCGCTGCCGGATTCCAACTTCTCCAAAGTTGTCGCAAGTTGACACAACAAGCCCTTGAAATTGTGGAAAGCAAACCCACCCTCTTAAGAAAGCCTGACTCTTGGTTCCTGGTCCCCTTCGGTGGGGGAAGATGGTCAAGGTAAGTAGTAAATAAGGAAAAAAAAATTCCCAGAGTCGGTCTTACAGATTCTCTGGCTGCGCCAAAGCGCGATTCGGTTGTGATGCAGAAACATCATTAATGCAAAAGACCGTGGCGATTCCCCAACTTTTCCTCTCCCACTGAGGGCAACTATAGTCTCTTTACCTTTCCTAGGGCAAAAGAAAACAAATCTAATTGTTTCCCCACTCTTTCCCCTTCCCCTCCTTCTCTACTACTGTAGTAAAACATGGTTAACAGATCAAAAGCATAATCATCTCCAAATGTGATTAGACCAGACAAAGTAAAATATCTACCTCAGAGTTGATTGTTTTCTTCGTTAATATGGCTGTTGCCTGGCTTCTCTTTTGCTTGTTATCAGCTGCAGAGATTATCCGATTTGGGTCTACAGGCTTGGACCCGCGCTGCCAATTTAAGAAATGGAATTCGTGGAGGAGGGAGAGAGAGAGGAAAAAAGAAAATAAATAATAATGATAATAGCCGTGATAAGTCGGGGAGTTTTGCGAGACGCTCTTCGCTTTCCCTTGCCCCTAAACAGGAAAATGTAGAGGAGAAAGTTTATGAAGTCAAGGAACAAAGAAAGCAAACCACTTGTTTCCTCTCAGACAATAGCAGGGCTGGAATAATCCAAACACCCACCCAGCAGATGAGCACTTTGCATGTCTAGTTTGCAATTATCCCGATACAAGAAGCATCATTTTCCCCTATAACCAGGTTTCCAAAGCCATTGTGCTGCGAAGAAAACGAAAACAAAAAACCAGCCAACCTGGTTCTGATTTGGCTCAATACGCCATCTGCTAAGCTACATGAAAAATTTCAGAATTGACTCCTTCTTTCTGGCAACAAGTGGCATAAATCAGTTTAAGTCCCCATCATGCTTATTCATGCTGCTTAGAAAAGGAGGGGGTGGATTTACAATATATGTCTCTAGTTTCTATTTTAGAAATGACATAAAGCATTTCAATTTTTCGAGTACTTATTCAATTAATCATCCAGCCATTTAATTGTTGCAGTTAACATTAGCACATGCTACTGGACTAGAATACCAAGGTTTTAGGTATTTTGCTCTCTTGGCTGAGCACAGTATATTCCCCGAGGAGTTATGTATAATCACAGTGTTATCCAAATAAATGAAAGACTCAAGAATAATTTCAGTGTCCATATTTCAAAAATTTATTTATCTCAAACTGTGCATAATGGAGTAAAAACTTAAGTTGAAAATGTACCTGTTATAAGGATGGTATTAGTTCAAATATATACATGGATTCTCGGCAGACTGATTCAAATAATTCAGAGCCGAATCTTTAAAATACAACTACGGAAAATAAAGGGGGTGGGGGGAAACCTTAAAATATCACAATAAATTTACAGAAATATTACAAACCATAAGAAAATATTTCAAACACAGTAATTTCATGTTGTATTTTTATCTGAACAAAATGGAAAGTTGGGAAACAAAAGCTATTATAAATTACCAATGATGTCAACCTGCATGGCCATTTTTGCTTTTAACAGTAAGTTAAAAAAAATTTAGTACAATCTAAAACTTTTGCCCCTTTAAAGACCACGGAGATGGTTGTGCCAGTACTTATTCTAGTTTTTTCCTTTTGTACAATTTTTAAACAATTAAAATGTCCAAAATCTGAATAATTTTCTTCTTTCCACGTTTGCAACTGTCCTAAATTTCAGCTGCAGAATCAAAATTCAGCAAGAAGCCTCTCCTTGAAAAATATTGGCAAATTCTCAGATTATAAACAATGGACATTTTGATTGCCATGTTTATCTCGATAAATACTGTACAAAAGTTGCTTGCAAATATTAAAACATTTTTTTCGTCGCTTGGAGACTAGCTCTAAATATTATTGGTAAAGACTTTTGCAAACTTTCTGCAAAGCTCCTACCGTATCACTAGAACTTTTAAAAAGTTTTGTGTAGTTTTCTTTCCTCCAGATCTATACAAGGTCCATTCCCTCGCCCTCCCCACCCCCACCCTGTTTTCTCTGTACAAAAATAGTCCCCCCAAAAGAAGTCCAGGATCTCTCATAAAAGTTTTCTTGTCGGCATCGCGGCTTTGCGTGAGTGTAGATGGGATCGGTGTTCTTTTTTTGCAGATGTCATTTGCTGCGGGTGATGACTTTTTTGTTTTGAGCGTACCGGGTTTCTCTCCTTGCTGTCTCTTACTCTCCTCCCATTTCCCTCGTTTTTCTTTGAAAATCCTCCCACCCACCCCCACCCCCAGTTCACTGTCCGGCCCTCACATGTGCGAGAGGGGCAGTGTGCCGTTAATGGCCGTGCCGGGCACCGGGCCGCTCTGGTAATGCTGGGACATGTGAAGTCTGCTGGGGGCGGCCGGCTCCGGCACCTCGGCGCCGGGGAGGTACATGCTGATCATGTCCCGGAGGTCCCCGGCCTGGCAGGGCGCCCTGGAGTGAGAGGAAGAGGTAACCACAGGGGGGCTGGAGCTGGCCTCGGACTTGACCACCGAGCCCATGGAGCCTAGCGCCATGCCAGGGGTGCCCTGCTGCGAGTAGGACATGCTGTAGGTGGGCGAGCCGTTCATGTAGGTCTGCGAGCTCGTCATGGAGTTGTACTGCAGGGCGCTCACGTCGTAGCGGTGCATGGGCTGCATCTGCGCGGCGCCGTGCGCGTTGAGGCCCGGGTGCTGCGGGTAGCCCAGCTGGTCCTGCATCATGCTGTAGCTGCCGTTGCTCCAGCCGTTCATGTGCGCGTAGCTGTCCATGCGCTGGTTCACGCCCGCGCCGAGGCCGGCGCCCACCCCGACCCCGCTAGCCATGCTGTTGCCGCCCGGGGCCAGCAGCCCGCCGGGCAGCGTGTACTTATCCTTCTTCATGAGCGTCTTGGTTTTCCGCCGGGGCCGGTATTTATAATCCGGGTGCTCCTTCATGTGCAGCGCTCGCAGCCGCTTGGCCTCGTCAATGAACGGCCGCTTCTCCGTCTCCGACAAAAGTTTCCACTCGGCGCCCAGACGCTTGCTGATCTCCGAGTTGTGCATCTTGGGGTTCTCTTGGGCCATCTTGCGCCGCTGCCCGCGGGACCACACCATGAAGGCGTTCATGGGCCGCTTGACGCGGTCCGGGCTGTTCTTCTGGTTACCGCCCGCCGCCGCCGCGGTGGAGTTGCCGCCGCCGCCGCCGCCGCCGCCGCCCCCCGAAGTTTGCTGCGGGCCGGGCGGCTTCAGCTCCGTCTCCATCATGTTGTACATGCGGGCGCTGTACGCGGGCCCGGCCCGCCGGCGGCCGCCGACCCTCGGCCCGGCCGCGACTTTGGGGGGCCCGCGGGCGGGGGGAGAGGAGGAGGGGAGGCGGGCGGGGATGTCGCGAGCGCAGGGCTCCGCGAGGAAAATCAGACGAAGAATAATTTGGGGGAAGAAAAGAGAGAGAGAGGGAAACCGGAATCAGGATCAAAAAAAGCGCTTCCCTCCTCTTCTGGCCGATCCTGCCGCCGCCGATGATTGTTATTATTATTTTTTGGAAAGGCTTAAGCCTGGGGCTCAAACTTCTCTCGCTTTCTTTCTCTCTCCTCTTCTTTCTCTCAGTCCTAGTCTTAAAGAGGCAGCAAACTACTTTCCCCCTTTGCAAACACTCTCTTCTCTGCCTTGACAACTCCTGATACTTTTTTGAACAAGTTAATAGACAACCATCCATGTGACGGGGGCTGTCAGGGAATAAATGGGTTTCCGGCGACCAATCAGCGCGCGTCGGCTCCTCCACTCGAGCCCAGCCTCGCCGCCGGGTTTTGCATGAAAGGGGGCGGGGCCTGCCGGGCCGCGGGCCGCGCGGGGGAGGCGGGGGGAGGCAGGAGATGGAGGGAGGGGGCTGGAGGGAGGGGGAGGCGGCTCCCACCGCCAGCCACTGAGAAACCTTTGTATCCCCAGTCGCAGCAACAGGTCACACCACACGCCTTTTCGAAGGAAGTGGGTAAACAGCACTAAGGCTGCGATCTTCTTCTTCTTTAAAACTTAACACTGATTTACTTTTTTGGCGCGGGGCTCCTGAAATAAGGAAGGGGCGCGAGAAAGCCGCTAAGGTGTGGGGGTGGGGCAGAGAGAGTGGGTGGTTCAGGGCGACTGTCCTACTGGTATTTCAGGAAACAGGCAGTGTTGGATGGAGTCGGTGTGTCATTGTTCTCCTGCTGCTCCGCACACTTCCCCCACCAACCCCAGCCTCTTCTCGTGCGTTTCCCTGGCCCCGCTCGTCCCCTTGCCCCTCTTTCTCCACAGGGGCCGACCCTCGCTCACCCGCGTCTCACACTGTCCCGACCAGAAGTTAGGAGACAGAAAGCTCTAGCCTCAAAACTCTCCTTGCTTCCACGCAATTCGCTCTGCTGTAAAAGTAAATCCTGCTGGGACGTTGCGGCCGGCTCTCGAGTGAGGCTGGGCAGGCCCTGGGGACGCCGCCGCAGCCTCGCTCTTCCTGCGGGACCCAGCTCTCCGGCGCGGGGACCCACGGCTGGCTCCCTTGCCCTCAGCCACGTCTCCCACCAGTCTTCCCCCATTCAGTCGGTGCAAAGCGGATGCGCGTTCCCTCTCCCCGTCCTCCTGCTGAGCCTCCCCCAAAGGATTTTAGTTGTGCGGGTTTCAGTTGGGGGCTGGGGCTGGGGCTGGGGTGGGGTGGGGGAATGAAAGAGCTCGACAGAAGGACGCTCAGAGTGCAGGCTGTGTGTGTGTGTGTGGGGGGGGCGTCAGCCCAACTTCCTGGCGTCCCACGGCACTGTGTGGAGGTGGCATTTGGGCCGCACTCACAAACTCCCTCCCACGCAGAGCTCACAGGACTCGAGCAGAACCAGCCCTGGCCTTTTCCCCCCGAGTGACTTCTACCGTGGTGGTCGCATTTCCCGGGCCGCCCGGGCCTGGGGGCTGTGCTCGGAGGGGGCTCTGGGCCTGGGAGGAGGGAAGGGTGGTGCTCGCCAGGCACAGGTGCAGGCATTGCCGGCAGAAAGAAGGAGGCCAGGACTGGGGAAGGGGGGATCCCAGCAAGGCCAGGGCTGAAGGAGGATGGAATGGGGGCGGGGTAGGGACTCAGAAATCCTGCCCGCCCTGGACCCAAGAGGGTAATTTTAGCCGCTCTCCCATTGTCCGGACGTAAAGATTTCAATAGGTAGGCGCTCAATGCGGAGAGCAATGGCAGCACGTCCGTTACAAATAGGTAGTTTTGTTTCTCTTGTTGTCGCTACACGGAGTCAAACAAAGCCCCGTCTAAGTTTCCTTCCACTCTCTTGTTGGGATCTTTGTGGCTAAAATGCACTTGACTACAAAGGGGGGGGGGAACCCTGATGCCATTTCTTTTTTTTTTTTTATAAAGGGCTTAAACCATCAGGGTTACTTATTTTCTTTCTTCTGTAACACTCTCTCCGCCCCCTCCTCCCCTGATCCACCCTTACCCTA